GGGAAATTGGCAGAGGCTCAAACTTGTGGGGACCAGGAATTCCTAAAAAGTGAAGAAAGAATTCCCCCAACCACCAAACCCTTCTACTCGCCGGCGGACTCATCGTCGGGAGAAGTAACTGCGAAATTTGTCACTGCTCTTCGGGATAACGTTGGTTGTTGTCTGTGTGGACTGTCACTACTCGTCGGGAGAAAGTTGATGCTTGTCCATGCGTCGGCGAGGAAGAGAGTTTTTGCGAAGTCGGGATATGTGGCAGCCAAAAAAGATGAGACTCGATTGAATGTAACCGGTTGGCTTTGTTTTATTCTTAATTGGATGTGATAAAATTGATAAATAAAACTAATTAAAAGGTAAGTGATGACATTTGGGTAATTTTTTCAGCTCTTTGACGGTCCATTAACATATAATTAGATGAAAGGACATATTGGTTGCGTTTTAATATTAGAAGGTTATGTTTGTGCAAAAAATTAGTAAAGGTATACGTTTGTTAATTTACAATATTAAAGGAGTACAAAATGCGATTAACCCAAATCTAAAATAAAAAATAAATGGCAACTAATATAAAACCAGCAAACAGAAAAGGAAAAAGTGTGCACTTTCTCTTTGCCAACGCAGACAGGAAGTGTAATTGACGCAGTAGAAGGGAATTGTTCCCCTCCGTGTGTGTAAACAATCTCCCATTATGGCACATTTCATCAGTGTAAATGGTGAGGGCCGATTGGTTTAACTCTTTTTGTAATGCAGCGAGTCAAATTTAGCATTCAAAGCTCTATTTTTTTTTTTTGGCATTTTGACATTTTGAATGCTTATTGAATGGTCTTTACTCTTTAGTACTAGATTTTGGCACTTTGGCCCTTGTTGGAGATGGCCTTAGAGATTTCTTTCTCAATCTCCACATGTAAAGAATAAATTTTGTAGAGAGAGAAGAAGTTTCATACAAAGATAAATATTCTTGTTTGGAATGTAAATCATATCGCTTAGTTCTATTAGTAGTAATTGTTTGCAATGTAAATTAGTTTGATTTGTAATAAAACAGAATAAAGAGACATAGAGAGACGAAGTTTCGTAGAGTGAAAGAACTCGTTTAAAGATAGAGAGGAGAAGTTTCATAGAGACAAGTTGCCTATAGAGAAAGAGAGACGAATAATAGAGACAGAAACAATCCGCTTTGTAATATACGTCAGTGGCGGAGGGGGGTGGATTATAGGGGGTGTTCAAATGGTTACCATGGTTATTACCAAACCAAATAAGGCTTGATTTCATTAAACTTGGAATACAATATCATAACCAAACCGTCCAAACTAATACAACAACCAAATTAACCAAACTAAAGTTTAATCGATTTGGTTAATTGGTTAACCAGATTAACCAATATAAAATCACATTATCATTAAGTGAGAAAATTTCCGGTTAATTTATCAATTCACAATTTATATAATGAATAAAACATAACAATCAACACTTGGTTATAGTTGACCTTTAACATAAATACATGCAACTAAGACAATTATCTTACGGTTAGTATAGAAGTATTCACCTAGCAAAAATTTATCACAATGGTATGGGTTAATGAATTGTTGTGTTTGTATGAATTGACTAGTCTTTTAGCAATTTTCATAGGTTGAAAAGGACCTTGCTTTCAAGTTTTCATCCAACATAATGTATGAGATTTATCCAAATTAGGCGTTCATATGTTGTGGTCTACACTCTACATATACAAATATACATTATATGAATAATATCAAGCTTTATATTTTATGAGTCTAAAAGGGATGAACGTTTAACTCTTGAGTGCTTATTCAAAGTATTAAGTATGTGTATATATTAGATATATGGCTAATTATTTATCTGATTAATTTGGTTTGACTGGTTAGGAGTGTCTGAAACCAAAACAAACCACCTAAACCAAACAAGCTAAAAACTTTAACCAAACCAAACCAATTATCCAAATTAACCAAACCAAATTATCCAAATAGTACTGGTTAAAACGGTTACCATGGTAACCACACCGTTTGAACACCCCTAGGGTGGAAGGGAGTGGGGTCCTAGAACCGCACTTAGATAAATTAAAATGGTTGTATGTATGTACATATTTGTTTAATTGTGGTAGATTTAGAATCCAGGATCCCATTCATATGGAATTTAATTGTCCTAGTATTATGAAACACACAAATAAATTAGACTATATTGGTCATATATCATTGAAAATCCCCAATTTTATAGTCCTTATTCTAAAAATTCCTAAGTCTACTAAATATGTGTACAAAAACCTCAAGTTATATCTAAAAAGCTCTTAGTTCAACAAATTGTTCCTATCCATATACAATTTATTTGTCATCAAATGTTTTTTATAAAACTTTTGTGTGTATTAGATTTTACTTGGGAACTAATTATTTTAGCTAGTTATTGAAATATCACTTTTCAATTATGGGTTACTTTGTAAGGTACAAATATAATAACTAATGGTTTGATAAATGACTACTTGACTGAATATTTTTAAGAAAATTTATTTGATAATTGAATACAATGTTATAAGATTTTTTTAATGGGACCCCACTAAACTCGAATCCTGACTACGCCACTGATACAAGTCATATCTATTTGTAATGTAAACAACTATAATTTGTAATGACAAAAGATTAAAAACATACTTATTTGTACTGTTAATTTTATCCATTTATGTTGTTAACGTAAAGTTCTAACATTTGTATTGTAAGTATTTGTCCTTGTTTCCAACGTTATTGGATAATGGAAAATAGTATGGTTTGTTAGTCTGTAATAAAATTTGTCTTGTTTGTGATGTATGTCTTAGTAATGTGTATTTTAAATAGTCATAATCTATAATGTCAAAAAATTCTGTTTTGGTTTGTGATGCAAGTAATATTCATTTGTATTGTTAGTAGTTTATAATGTAAGTTAGTCTTATTTGTAGTGTAAGTCATATTCATTTGTATTGTAAGTTTTTTTTTTAATAATTGGAGGACGTTTTATAGCTCTTCCGCGATCTAAAATTATCAAGTCTTGAAAAACAAAATTACAGCAGTACATATGTTCACTTGAAAAGAATAAACTTGACTCTCGCTATCTTGTCAAACCTGATAGCTGAGCAAAATGATCGAGTATCCTTTTAAATTTTAACACATTCAAGCGCATAAACTGATCCCTTACTGAAAATGAGTAGGTCATAAGCAAATCAAAGATGTGTCAGACCTACCATTTTACATTGAGGATGGTAAGGGACATGTGTCTGCCTAGCAATGTGATCAAACATTGTTGTTAAGAGTTCCATAATAATGGTGAAAAGATATGGTGACAAGGGGTCACCTCGTCTAACTCCTTGTTGTGTAGTGAAATTCTCAAACAAACTTACATGCATTGCAATGCTAAAAGTAGCAGTAGACACACATGTCTGAATCCAACTGATGAATTGATTTGGGAAACACATAGATTTCATGACACAGAAGAGTGACTCCGAATGGACTGAATCAAATGCCTTTCAAAGATCAACCTTTACTGCACTTCTGGAAGCAATTCCTTTCTTTTGATAATTTTGAACCACTTCTTGAGACATAAGAATATTGTCCAGGATAACACTAGGGAGGACTTCTAGCAATCTATTAGCTAAAACCTTAGAGCCAATTTTATAAAGAACATTGATACAAGCAATGCGTCAATATGCATTCAAAGAGACTTCATTTGGGATTTTAGGACACTGAGTGAGAAGCTATGTTCATACCTTTAGGAAATGTGTTTAAGATGAAAATTCTTTTACTCCAGCAATAATAGAGTTTCCTATCACATCCCATTTTTCTCTTTGAAATAGCTAACTATCCAACCATCACGCCCGGGCTCTTCGTAGGATCCATGGAGAACGTAGCCTGTTTAGTTTCTTCATCAAGCATAGTCTTACATAAAAAATCACCTTCTACATTGAGTTTCTTTTGAATATGTCTTTCAATAAATGCAGGGTCAACATTAACGGTAGTATTGACCTTGCCAAAGAGGTTTTGATAATAACCAATAGCTTCATTTGCAATAATATCCAAATCTGTGATTTCCTCCCCTAACTCCAAGATTAGTTTCCTTATTTGTTTACGGGCTGTCCTGATTTTAGCAAACTTATGATAGAAAGATGTATTAGCATCTCCCAAAGATAACCAATTCACCCTCGATCGTTGCATAAAGAATTTCTCATCTACTTGCTGGTAGAAGAGCCATTCTTTGGTAATATTTGATTCCGCCGCAGGTACCACAATGATTATTGAGAGCTTGTATATGAGCATCTTTCATCTTAGATTCTGCTTCTTTTACTCTACCAGTAATGTCAGAAAACTCATTCTTATTGAGTTTCTTAAGTTCCATCTTCAGTAACTTCAGCTTCCTTCTAACCCCAGCAAGGATCCAATTGTCCTATAGTAAACTCCAAATTTCTTTGAGTTTATTAATATAGTCTACATGATCCATTCACATGTCATAAAACCGAAATGGTTTAGGGAATGACTTGCCTGGAACGGTCAACTTGATTAGCGTACCACAATGATATGAAAAATCTGGTGCTATAACTCTCTTCTTCATTTAATGCACGCACACGCTGGTGCCTCCATTTCTCCCTTTTTTTTTATCAATGATCAGCGTGTTCTTCGGTGACCTTCACCATCATTAATTGTAGTCAACTCATTTAAATTTAAAATTCATCAATATGAAATATTTCTATTGGTTGAAACTAGCATTATCACAATGGTAACAAAAAAAGTGTTAGCCCCTAGCCATTTTATAGAGTATAATAATTTGATCTTTCTGTGAAACAAATTTGAGTTAAAATCAATAAAAAACAATTCGTTAAAAATGAAAAGGTATAGTGATGGTTATGACTGATGAGAATTAAAGGTACATTTTGTTTTCCAAAAATTAAAGAGATATTTGATTATGGATCAAATTTTGGCTCCAAAAATTATCAAAACAAGAAAAGAAGAAGGATGGTGATGAGAATAAGAGCGAGAGGGGGAGGCGGGGGTAAAGAGGGAGAAGAAATGGAGATTGGGGAACGAGGAAGAGAAGAAATAAGCGAAGAACACTCGACTCCGATCTGGAGACGCTATGACCTATTCGAGTTTTGGGTTTGGATCTCCTAAAAAACCTACTACCCATTTGACCAGTGCCCTTTCTCTCTCCTCCAAATTAATCTCTCTCTCTCTCTCTCTCTCACCAAAACTAAACTCTCTGGCTCTCTACCTTTTTCCTTCTTTCTTTTCTCTCCCGATTGTTCGTTTTTTTGGCTCCCCTCTTCGTACTTCTTCCTTCTTCTTCTTCTATCTCCTCTCTTCTCCATATCCCCTCCCCATGACCGTCCATTAAAACCCTAATTTCTTTCTCCCCACCCCCAACAATCTTCACTCCCTACTCTCGACAGGTAGGTCACTTACCGTACTGAATCTTCTCCACACCGAGTTTAATATATATTTTTTGTTGGCTTTTAATCTTTGCCCTTTTGGTTTCTGTTTCCCTCTACCTGGTTTTGTTTTTCAGTCGTTTGATTCATCCTGTTTACAGTTTCCGCTTGTTATTTCTGGTTATGGTTTTTGATTCCTCTAGCTCGATCTGCTTCCCTGCTAGATACAAAACCGAGCCAGGGGATTCCTAAACGTACGGATATATGTCCTTCAATCAATCCAGGTCGGAGAGGAGCGATACTCAGTTTCGGAAATCGGGGCGATCCGCCAGCTTTAATCAGCAGCGGAACAACTCAGGCCCTCCTCACGGTAAAGGCGGCGGCCCCGCCCCTTCACCAGCAAATCTCTCTTCCACCCGCAGGTATTCCCATGTCATCAATTGCATTGTTTGTTTTCTCTGTATTACTTTCTTTGTGTTTGTTTAGTCTCTCTCTCTTCCATTCTTTCGGTTGTCAATGCCCAGGCTTTGTATGAATTCTCCCTTTCTGTACCTCATCATTGTTGCCCTTTTCTTTTATGGATTCTGGGATCAGTTTTAGAAAACCTACCAATGCCCACGGTGGACAATCGAGGGTAAACGCATCAGCTGCTAATTCTGTCGATTACGCCAGTGCGGTTTCATCGCATAATGTGCAGAATGGTGCTCGTGTACAACCCCCATTACAAGGTACGCTTGATCGGTCAAGCCATTTTCTTTCTCTATTTTCTTTCAGGAATAACTTGTGGAGGATAAATCTGGCTGCTTTTGTGTCTTGGTTAATAGCTAATTGTTATTGTTTCCATAAATAAACGTTTTGTTACATTTCTGGACCTCTAGCCACTGCCTGTTTTTTTTTTTAATGTTTTTATTGATTTATCCTGGTCAGGTCTTGCTGACGCGACAGCTGCAAGTGAGGTTGCTAGGGCAACTGAGGCTCCCGTTTCACAGAGGAGCACCCGCCCAGTACCAAAGGCTCCAACTTCTCAATCTTCCACCTTGACTCCTGATAGTGGGACACCAGCTACACCTGTCAAGGGTGAGCGTCTGTTCTTTATGCTATGAGTTGGTATGCTCTGTTAAGTTTGCTTTGGCTCTCCGTTTGTCGTTGGCACTCTCTTATCCCTAATATTGTCATATGCTTCCAGGTGATGCGTCCAAGTCATTCCCCTTTCAGTTTGGCTCAATAAGTCCTGGTTTTATGAATGGGATGCAGGTATTTATTTCACTTTACATGCTGGCTTTTATAATCTTTTTGGCATAAATCTGGATTGAAGAAGCATTGTGATGTAGATTCCTGCTCGAACTAGCTCCGCTCCCCCAAACTTGGACGAGCAGAAGCGCGACCAGGTCTATTCTTCTTTTGTTTTCTTTCCCTCATTCTAGTAGTAGATTTTAGTGAGTACAAATATTCCTTTTTTTTTGGTTGCTTATTTGATAGCAGAGGCTTCCTCCTGTCAAGGTGGATTGAGTTTACATTTCTCTTGCTTCCAAGACCTATAATTGTAGTGTAACTGAGCTCTTGTTTTGTATGTAACTCACTTTAGATATCCTGCATTGCATCTGGGATTGGGAATCTGTTTGTCTAGGATCACTCACAAACACACAGATATTTGTTATCTGTGAACTTGCAGGCACGGCATGATGCATATAGATCTGCTCCTTCATTACCAAATCCAATACCGAAGCAGCCAGTACCAAAGAAGGATGCCAGCTCTGCTGACCAATCCTATATTGTGGAGTCTCATTTAACCCCCAAGACCAAGAAGGACACACAAATCTTGCCTTCACCACATGTAAGCCAAATGCAAAAGCCTTCTGTTCTTCCAATTCCTATGACTTCCGTGCAGATGCCGTTTCCCCAGCCACAGGTATCTGTGCAGTTTGGTGGGCCAAACCCTCAAATGCAGTCGCAGGGTGTCACTGGAGCTTCTCTTCAAGTGCCTATCCCCATACCATTAGCAATGGGAAATGCTCCACAGGTCCAGCAGCCAATGTTTGTTCAAGGTCTTCAACACCACCCAATGCAGGCTCAAGGCCTCATCCATCAAGGGCAGAGCTTGAGTTTTACAACTCAAATGGGTCATCCAATGCCTCAGTTAGGGAACTTAGGTATTGGTATGTCTCCACAGTATCAACAACAGCAGGGAGGGAAGTTTGGCGGTCCAAGGAAAACAACTGTGAAAATTACTGATCCAAAGACTCACGAGGAGCTGAGGCTGGACAAGCGAGCAGATGCATATGCAGATGGTGGAACATCAGGCATGAGGGCTCATCTTAACATGCCTCCTCAATCCCAGCCGATACCCTCTTATCCATCTTCTCATACAATTAACTATTTCCCCAACTCTTTTACTGCCAGTAATCTATATTATCCCCCTCCAGGTTCTTTGCCGTTAACCAGTGGCCAAGTGCCTCCTGGGTCTCAGCCACCTAGATTTAGCTATCCTGTCAACCAGGCCCCACAAAATGTTTCATTTGTAAACCCATCTGTTACAGCTTCTCAATCAGGCAGCAAGTCTAGTCCTGCAATTCATGGACATTCAGTGCCGCTGAATTCTGTACATGCCCGTGATGTTTCGATTTCTATGTCAGCTGTGTCGCAAGTGGCAGCCCAATCTCTTTCAAGCCCAACCAAGGAGAAGGCCATGGATCCACCTTCAGCTAATAGCATTTCTGCTATTGATAAAGCTGGGTTACCAAAATCATCCAAGCCTTCTGAAGTTGTCTCGTCTCCCCCTCGTGGGGAGACTCAGTCTGGGATGTCCTCGGGACAATTGACCCTCGGGACTGAGATTTCTGGATCTAAAGCATTGAGAGTATCAGCTAAAAATCCTGCTTCATCTGCTGGTAATGCTGTGGTTCCCGATTCCCTCTCAGCTGCCTCATGTGATCATAATGAGGGATTAGCATCAGCCGCTAGAAATGCTGAAGTGAGGAGGAAGGAGAACCTTAGCAGATCCAACTCTATCAAGGACAATCAGAAAAAGCCGGTGAAAAAAGGTTATGTTCAGCCCCAGCATGAGGTTTGTCTCAATCCATTAATTCTTGAGATGAATGTTTCATTGATAGTATTGTTATTCTTGAGATGAGGTTTCTAAAAGAAATTCTGTACTTCCTTGAATTCCATTTGCAATCGTTTTGTACAGGTTGGTGTGAAAACTACTTCAGCTTCAAGTTCCTCCACTTCAGTAGCCGCTGATGGTTTAACTGACATAAACAAGAAACCAACTCTGATGGATTCTTCGTCAGATCTTACAGAAGTCATGGTTGGCCATATTGAAGGTGGTCCTCCTAATGGGGTTCCTCTTAAAACTTCTGATATTAAAGGTGTAACTGACATTCCCAGTGTTGTTAATATAACTGAGGCTCTGGGGGCAATAGAAAAAGGAGAAAATGAATTACATAATGTTGCTAAATTGGATGAAAGCAGTTCTGTGCCATCATCAGCAGCCACTTCAAAGTATGCAGACGTTAATAATGCCCAGGAGAAATCTGATTTGGCATTGATGAGTTCTGGCAATGAGGTTCCTACTGTAGAAACTGTAAAGGAAGTACAGAATGAACCGGTGACTTGCCATGCAGAAATTACCAAGGAAGCAGATGCAAAGGATATTACCTCATCCACTAGTTTCTGTTCATCAGATGCTATGAAGTTGGATGGTGACGAAACTTATGTCAATGTAAGCGAAACCAATATAGCCACTGACAGTGGAGATTCTTGTGTAATATCAAGTACAGCGAATCAGCTTACTGACTCGGCGTTGAAGCATGAAGGAGACGACTATGCCACTGGTGGTATTTTGTCTTATGGACAATCTGGTTATGTGGAAAAAACCCATGAATTGAGTCGATTGAAGAGTAATGCTGGTAAAGGTAAGAAGAAGAGGAAAGAAATTCTTCAGAAGGCTGATGCAGCTGGCACAACTTCTGACCTCTATATGGCTTATAAAGGTCCTGAAGAAAAGAAAGAGAGTGCAAGTCCTACGGAAACCACAACAGGCTTGCCCACTAGTTCTAGCACAAAGGAGGCAACTGCTGATGATGCGCTGCCATTGGGTTTGACACCAAGTGATAAAGGAGCATCAAATAAACCTGAACCCGAAGACTGGGAAGATGCTGCTGACATCTCGACTCCAAAGTTGGAAAGTGTTGACAGTGGGAAGCAGCCTGGCGACAGTTGGTTGCAGCAGGATGGAAATGGGAACATAGACAAGAAATATTCCCGAGACTTTCTCTTGAAATTTTCTGAACAATGTACTGATCTTCCTGAGGGTTTTGAAATTACAGCAGATATAGCAGATGCCTTGATGAGTCCAAATGTAGCTCATCTCGTTGATCGTGAAGCATATCCTAGCTCTGGAAGGGTTGTCGATAGATCAAACAGTGGATCGAGAATGGACCGGCGAGGTGGAAACATGGATGGCGACGACAGGTGGAACAAACAACCAGGTCATCACGGCTCAGGGAGAGACTTGCGTGTGGATATAGGTTATGCTGCAAATATGAACTTCCGGCCTGGTCAAGCTGGAAATTTTGGCGTCTTGAGGAATCCACGAGCACAGAGTCCCATGCAGTATGCTGGAGGAATATTATCTGGGCCAATGCAATCAGTGGGTGCTCATGGAATACCTAGGAACAGCCCTGATGGTGACAGGTGGCAGCGTGCTACCAATTTTCAGAAGGGATTAATTCCTTCTCCGCAGACGCCATTGCAGGTGATGCACAAAGCTGAGAGAAAGTATGAAGTTGGCAAAGTAACTGATGAAGAACAGGCCAAGCAGAGGCAATTGAAGGCCATTTTGAATAAGCTCACACCTCAAAATTTTGAGAAGCTTTTTGAGCAAGTGAAGGCTGTTAACATTGATAATGCTGTCACTCTAACAGGTGTTATCTCTCAGATTTTTGACAAAGCTTTAATGGAGCCAACCTTCTGTGAAATGTATGCCAACTTTTGTTATTATATGGCCGGGGATTTGCCTGATTTCACTGAAGATAATGAAAAAATAACATTCAAGAGATTACTTCTGAATAAGTGTCAGGAAGAGTTTGAGAGGGGAGAAAGAGAGCAAGAAGAAGCTAATAAAGCTGACGAGGAGGGTGAGACCAAGCTGTCTGCAGAGGCAAGGGAGGAAAGAAGGGTGAATGCTCGAAGAAGAATGCTTGGTAATATAAGGTTGATAGGAGAGCTATACAAGAAGAAAATGTTGACAGAGAGAATAATGCATGAGTGCATCAAGAAGTTGTTGGGCCAGTATCAGAATCCTGATGAGGAAGATGTGGAAGCATTGTGTAAGTTGATGAGCACCATTGGTGAGATGATAGATCATCCGAAAGCAAAGGAGCATATGGATGCTTATTTTGACAGGATGTCAAAATTATCAAATAACATGAAACTGTCCTCGAGGGTTCGATTCATGTTGAAGGATGCCATAGATCTTAGGAGGAACAAATGGCAACAAAGAAGGAAAGTCGAAGGGCCGAAAAAGATCGATGAAGTGCACAGAGATGCTGCTCAGGAACGACAGCATCAAGGAGGTAGGGGTTCTCGCAATCCTAGTACTCCTGCGAGAAGGGGAACATTGGATTTTGGTCCCAGAGGGTCGTCTACGCTCCCTTCGCCAAATTCTCAAGTTGGTAGTTTTCATGGTTTCCCCAGTTCACGTGGATTCCCCAGTCAGGATGTTCGGTATACTAATGATGATAGACAGTCTTATGAGGCAAAGGCCCTATCAGTTCCCTTGCCTCAAAGACCTCTTGGCGACGACTCTATAACTTTGGGTCCACAAGGAGGCCTTGCTAGAGGAATGTCGGTTAGAGGCCCTCCAGCGGCAATTACAGCCAGTCCAGTGACTGATATTGCTGCATCGCCAGGTGATTCTAGAAGAGTGGGGCCCCGTTTGAATGGTTTTAACAGTGTTTCTGAGCGTCCTATTAATGCCCCAGCGGAAGATCTTGTGCCGAGATATGTTCCTGATAGAACTAACGTTCCGGCTTTAGATCAATCAGCTCCTCAAGATCGTAATGTGAATTATGTTAACAGGGATGCTCGAAATACGGATCATGATTCTGATAGATCTCATGCTATATCACCTCAGGCTACTGTTGGTAGCCATAATGCAGCTTCAGAAAATGCATGGCCGGAAGAGCGCCTAAGAGATATGTCAATGGCAGCTATAAAAGAATTCTACAGGTACGGCTTCTCACCTTCCTCCTTGTGTTTACCTCCAAACCTATTTCCTTGTGTTGACCTTCAAAACATTGTGTGTTGCATTCTTCTCACGCAGAACTAACTCAGTATTGGTATTAGGTTTGCTTGCTGCTAAGTAGCTAGAGCTCTGCTTTTTTTGGCTGTGAATTTTATTTAACTTGAAGAATTATCTGGGTTATCTGAACCATACTGATCCCGACTATTCTATTTGTTAACTGCCAATTTGAAGGTTTTTACCCAACTACTATATTACATTATTAGTGCCTCATCTTCTATGTATTCCACTCCCAGTGCTATAAACAGTGGTAACTTGGCTCTAATTTCTATGACAATGTGTTGACAAGCCTATCCTTGAGAAGTGGAGGGATGTCCTTTGGCAATTATGGCAGTATTGTCATGTCTGGCCAGCCCTTGCTGTTGGTTGAAATTCATACCATCAAGGATAGTGGCCGTTTTCATTGGCAGGGGAGATTATTTTTCTGCATTGGTCACCTTTATGAAAACTTTGAAATCCTTCTTTTCCTCGTTCCTCTTCTTTTAAGTTTCCCCTTCTCCAGCCAGGACTGGAGATTAAAGTTCATGATATTATGGTTTCTGCCATCTGGATTTCATTATTTGAAGCTGAACAGCTGACGCAGAAGTTGTAGTTTGACTGGGTCTGCTATCTTATCTGACGAGGTAACTGATTATTTGTGCTTTGATGATTTCTAGTGCCCGAGATGAGAAAGAAGTGGCCCTATGCATAAAAGACTTGAACTCTCCAGGGTTTCATCCTTCAATGATCTCACTCTGGGTCACAGATTCCTTTGAGAGGAAAGATATGGAGAGAGACCTCCTAGCTAAGCTAATTGTAAGCCTTGCAAAGTCTCATGAGGGAGCACTGACTTCAGGCCAGCTTGTTGAAGGGTAAGATGCTTGTGACCCACAGCCTTACTGATTGGTCGTGAAATTTGAGTTTGGAATGTAAGGCTGGGTTTTGACTTCATATACTTTATTTTTGGCAGTTTTGAGTCGGTGCTAAGTACATTGGAGGATGCTGTGAATGATGCCCCTAAAGCTGCAGAATTCCTGGGACGCGTCTTTGGACGAGTTGTGGTGCAAAACGTGGTGCCCCTGAGGGAGTTGTGCCGGTTATTGAAGGAAGGCGGGGAGGAACCTGGGCAGTTACTGGAGAGTGGGCTAGCTGGAGATGTTCTTGGAAGCACTTTGGAGATGATAGAAGCAGAAAAAGGGGAGAGTGGGTTGAATGAGGTAAAATCTGGATCCAGTTTACGGTTGGAGGATTTCTTGCCTCCACAGCCCAGCAGATCAAGGATACTAGAAAGATTTATTTAGACAACATATCATATGAGTACAGGGAGAGAGAAAGAGAGCCATCGGGGTCGGGTTGTATGTTTGTTAGAGAAAGGGAAATTCCAGTCTGTTAGTCAGTCCTGCTGCTCTTGGGTTGTACTTCAATTTGAGTATGTAGTAGGGAAAGTTGTTAATTTTTGAATGTGGGTTGGGGTCGGGCGGGGGCTTTAACTGGCTGGCTTTTTTCTGGCTTCCAAATGTAATGAGGCGCTGGAGGGTTTTCCTTCCCTTCTCCATCAGCTCGGTGGCTTAATATCATTCATTCTTGAAAAATGTTATTACTTTCATATCTGTGATAAACAAGGGCGGGTTTAACAGGTTTTCATTTCCAACGCAAACGAATTGCCAGCCTTTTAGTGGCCGATATTACTTAGTGTTGTAAAATTGTGTAGGTGCTCCCGAACTGTATGTTTTACAAGTTGAGATCGTATTGATGCCAGTATTCACGACCAAACAATGTCTTGTATTTTATTAGCTCAAGTTCATTTTCTACAACTGTAATATCCAGAAATAATTCTTTTGACATGCTCAGGAGATGACTAATTCCAGAGATCTCCATTCAGTACAGACGTTTTGCAGCTCCTCCTTTTCTTCAGCTTCTCTACCATTTTCCTTCCACTTTCCTCCAGAAACCAACTCTGGTGGGACACCGAGCTTACATCTTGAAACACATCACACATGCACATTCACGAACAATGAAAGAGTGACACAGGGGGGAGAGTCAACATACAATCCTCGAATGTGATAACAGTTCAATTTAGACTTTAAAATATGTCATAGAGAGAAAGGGCGGGTGTACACGTCGAATGGCTGACATGAAGTTAACTGTGGCTCCTGTCGTTATAAACAAAGCAGAAAAGGGGGTTAAACATCAACTGCTATCACGTACAAAAATGCAAGATAAAGCACATCCAACACTACGCAATCAGCAAATATCTTATGCCAGCAGTGGAGCAGTCTGAACATGAGTTCTTTCTTAAGATTCCTAGATTGAATAGTTCCAACAGGCATAAAGATAAAAGAATCCTATTGTTTTTACAGAGCTCTCCAGGGTTAGAGATCTCCGTAAGATGTTAAATTATGATCTCTCCCTCTGAACAGGAGTTCTATAACCATGCAAATCTAACCAGATTCAAGAGTAAGTACCTAGCCCTTATCCAGCTCTCAATACACAAAACCAAAGTGGACAAAAGCAAACCAATTTAGCTAAGATGTAAATTATGACCTCTCCCGCTGAGCAGAATGATTTCTAAACCATGTAAATCTAACCATTTTCCAAGAATAAGTACCTAGCAAATATCCAGCTCTCAATACACAAAATCAAAGCGGACAGAAGCAAACCAGTTTCGCAAAGATGTTAAATTATGATCTCTCCCACTGAACAGGATTTCTAAAACCATGAAAATCTAAACAGTTTCAAGAACAAGTACCAAGCCCATATCCAGCTCTCACTACACAAATCCAAAGTGGACAGTAGCAAACCAACTTAGCTAAGAAGCTGGAGAATGAACAATTCCTAGAGATGGAAAGTGCGCACATATGATGTATGCACGCGATTAAATTCACAATGACATTTCTTTCTCCACAATCTAACTACCGTACCTGTCTCAGTCCACCACTAAGACTGCTGCCACCTGTCAGAAGCATGGTGAGGACAGAAGTGACAGGCCCACCACCAAGGCCATTATTGCCAGTAGCTCGAATGGCCGAACGCATCGAACTGAGAATACTCCCATAAGTTGTACCCTGGCTGCGCTCAATCGCTTGGATGAAACAAAAAGTCATTGCACCAGTAGACGTTATTTTGGACAAAGCCTGAATCAACAGTAACAGACCAGAAGAAGTTCGAGATCTATATTAGATATATAGCATATAACAGAATGACTATTTACCCAGTAGCTTCCTTGATCCAGCACTTACTGATGTATCTGCAGAAGTTTGGTCATCATCACAGCCACTAAAGGATATTGCCTCTCCACCATTTGTTCCTGTCCACAGACCGGAACGTGGTCTATGGTCCTCCCATACATATTGCCCACTCCTATTCCCAATACATATTTTACTAGTTAGAAGAAAGGATTAAAACTGCTCTTAGCACGAGAACATATAATTACGTTTTAAAATGAAGAGCAGACCATGTAAGGTGTTGGCAAGGATTAGAATAGGAGTGGAATGCTCAATATGTGACTGTACATTCTAACAGCATGGCCAAAATGAGTTCTTGAACCTATCCTGAAATTAACAAACATGGATGGATAATACTAAATATCATGTGCTTGTTTATCATTATTTAACACCCTAGGGGACAGAAGCTGTAGGGACGGAGCAAACTCAGAAGATCAATGAAATTCTGACACCATGCTCGCTAATACAGAAACGAATAACAGTCATGTGATCTGTCCGTTTTAATCATCTAACATGAACTTAGGAGAAGGCTATTGAGATTCTTCAAATAGGACCCTACAAAAATGAATCAAATTCGGGCTTATCTGTTGGTTTAAATCATCTAACATAAACTTATCATAAGGCTGTTCAGATTCTTGAAATTTGACTGTCCAAAATTGAGTAACATTTGAGATTATCTATCCCTTTACATCATCCAACATCAACTTTCCTAGTGATACAGTAATTGATCAAAATCTTTAATTAATGTGGCAGCTAACCTGTTCATTCTGCAAAGGAAGGGCAAATCCAGGACCGTTCCACTATGACAAGCATCAATTATAGCATGGAGCTTAACACCGTGAGGGAGAGGTCTCACAATTGTGGCATTAATTTCATCATCCACAATCATGCCTTGAGTTTCAAAATCCAAAGGACAAAGGGTTTCATCATATCCATCAACTTCATCACCGTTGTAGTTTCGTTGCCTGGAACCATGACCAGAATAGTGGAACAGCAGCGAGTCTCCAGGCTGACAACCTTGTACAAGCCAATATAACGCCATCCTAAGATTATGTTTAGTGGGTATCCTGTAAGGATCAGTTTCCTCCTCTGCATTTTAGAAACACAAGAACTCATAAGATAAACAAAATTGGTAACCTCTGTTGATAACATAAGTGGGGATGTCCCAGATCTGAAAGCTACATAGTCCCAGGGTATTTTCTTTCGGCCTATTAAGTTTCCCAATGCATCCATCCAAGTTTAATACCATGAAGAAATGAAATTAAACAGGCAAGCAGTAGTCAGTTAAAAAATCGATAAGCAAGGGCAATTCTAAAAATGGTGACTTGCAACAACAACAAAAAAAGCATTTAAAGGAACCAAGATCATCCAGATAAGGGGAAAGACAAAAAAATATAAGAGACAGAGAGGAATTGAATCAATTACCGGTGAGCATAAGAATAGAATCAGGGGGGAAGCTGAACTTGTTGATGAGAAGGTAACGCATACACTTGGCGTCGTTGATGCAACCTTTGAGCTCGTGCCTGGAATACCTGTAGGAAATCCCGCAGATCACGGCCCTCTTCCGGCCGTGGGAGCTTGGCGGCGGAGGTTGTTGGTAGGGAGAAGGAAGATTGGCGGGCGGAGGAGCGGAGGAGGAATGAGGTTGAGGCGCAGAAGAAGGCGGAGGAACAGAGCGCGGATCGGCGACGTTTGTTACGGCATGGCAGAGCGCACAACGGATGGATCGAGCGCCGGGCGGGAGCTGCAACGGCGTCCGGCAATTGGAACAGTTGACCAGCATCAACGTCGCCATTTCTTCTCTCTTTCTCCCTTTTCAGCAACAGGTTTCGACTGGCTTGCGAAAACAAAAATCAAACGAGTTGCGAAATCCAGCAAGCAACACGAATAGTTGAGGAAATCGTCACCAGGGAAGAAAACGAAGAAACGCGCAAAACTGACGAAGAAGAAGAAGCTTCTTTTTCATTTTGGGCCTTCGGATTCACTGGGCTGGCCGAGAACTTTATCCCCCACCCTAGTTCTCGAAACTAGAATAGTTGAAGGCCTGCTGGGCCCAACTCTAACGTGGAGTCGTGGATGCAATCCACCCGGACCCCAAGGGTTTCCCACTCTTCACCGTTTCAAAGAGTTCGGTTATTGTGGAGCATGGACACGGGGTAAGATAGGACCAAGGGTCCCTTAGTTACTTGATTAAGTCGATCTCACATCTTCAAACTTATTAAAATCTAATGATTTCAATTAATCTAATTAATCTAATTTTATGAACGGCAATATAGTAATTACAAGATAATTTATAATTTTCAATTATTATATAATAAATAAAAAATCTCCAACTGCGGTCCGTCAACTTGATATAAAAAAAACGTTAGATCGTCCCCTTCCGGTCAGGCAATTTTCCTGGCACGACGGCCAGACAATTTTCCTAGCGCTACGGTCAAACAATTTTCCGTCGGTCGCTTTCCGGCGCTCGCTAGCTTTGCCTTTTCTTTTTTTGGAGCATTTGCAATTATTTCCCCACTTCAGCCACGTAGAGAGAGGGGGGAGAGAGAGAGAGAGATTTTTTCCCGGCGATTGGAGGTGGCTCTTTGGTGATGGGAGGTGGCTTTCCGGCGATCAGAGACTGCGAAGAAGGATTTTCCGACAACAGTGCTAATTGTGATGTTTGCCGCCCTATTTTCTAATGTTTATAAGTCCTGTCTATAATGTTTATGTAAATTCGGTTTGTATTGTTTATGATTCTTGTTTGTCATGTTTGTCTATTATTTTTGTAATGTTTATATCACTATTTAGTATATATTGTGATTTGTAATGTTTGTTTGTCTGGTTTATACATTTTTATGTTATGATTTGTATACTTTGTATTCATTGATTTGTAATACAATTTTATCGATTTGTATTGTAAGTAGTGTTATTTTGTACTGTTATTATGCTTTGTAATGTTTGTTGGTTTCTTTTGTAATGTTTGTAACCTTTGTTATTTTTGTCCAACATGTTTGTCATTTTTGTCAACCATGTTTGTAATGTTTTTTTATGTCTCAAAAACAACCTGGTTAACTTTTGGAAATAACTCTTATATATAGAGATGAAGTCTCCAAAGTCAACTCGGGTGTTTTTCCATTTTGTATGGTTTGTCGGTCTACTTTGTAATTTTTGTCCACTATGTTTGTAATGTTTGTGATGACTTGATATATACACATGTTTTTGTCCACCATTCCTGTACCATTTGAGCCTCATCTCTCGTGTTTTAGGCCGATTTCATGATAGGTTGTTCTTTTTTGTGATATTTCAGGTCCTAGTACGTGAAGGAAGGTTTGGGCACGAGTTCGGGGTCGATTGGACGAAGTTGGGACGTTTGACGAAAAGCTGGAAATTCCACACGGGCAGACCTAAATTCCACACGGCAAAGCCACACGGGCCGTGTAAGGGCCCTTTTTGGCCGTGTGGGATTTCCAGGGAGTTCACACGGGCAGGCCTAACTTCTACACGGCCGTGTGGTTTTGGCCGTGTAGCGTGCCTGGAGTCATTAAATCGAATGCAGCATTTTGGAGAGCCACACGAGCAGCTGGGGATTTCACACGGCCGTGTGGCTTGGCCGTGTGATTGGGCAGAACTGGGTTTTAACCCAATTTCGGGCCTTTTGAAGTGGAATCGAGTTTTTGAGCGAAAAACAGAGCCATAGAGAGAGAAAGTGCGAAGAACACATCCTAGAGGTGATTTTGGAGCTGGGTTTCATCAATCGAGCTTGGAGATCATCATAGGAGTGAAGATCATCATCCCAGAGCAGATTTTCCTCATCTTTATGAATATGACTACTTTGATTTCTGTTTTCCTCTCTCTCTCTCTCTATGGAGTAGAACCCTCTCTCACTTGGGTATGAAGAACCCTAGTTCCATGTGTTAGGGATCTTGGTTGTCACGACTTGGGATTGTTATACTGATTGGTTATAATTGATTGATGCATGATTCATTGAGTTAATTGAAGTCTGATAATCTTTTCTTTATTTCTGTTGCAACCTGAGATAGATAGAATATGATTAGGTTGTTAGAGCTTCATCAATCGGTAGTGGTAGATTGGTTATACGAGAATTAATCGATTTACTGCTTTGTACCGGAACCCAATTCCAGTAGTGGAGTTCTGTGTTTATTGCCTCAGCAGTCTATCCCGGTGAAGGTTAGTCGCCTGCCGGTTAGCCTGTCTGAGAGGGCTTGGTCAGCTTAAGTGATTCCAATCTACTGTCGGATCTTCCGCAGTTTAATCAACAATTAATCAACCCAGGGTAATTACAACCTTGACCTAACTAAGGAGCTAGGGGGACTCATTCCCGAGTGACTCTTCCCTTGCTAAAGAACTTTGAACCATTTCCTGCTTTCTTACTGTTTTTAGTTAAAATAACAACCACTCGACTTAGTTTGCTAGATAATTGGTATTCACGGAGTAGGCAGTAGATCTAGACCCCGGGTTGACAAATAGAGCTTGCCACTTACTGCATTTCCGGACTGCGATTACACTTGGTCGCAGTTTGGTGTTGTGTTTTACGGTGTCAGTTTGTAAGTCTAAAAAACAACCGGGTTGACTTTGGGATGATGCTCCTCTATATAGGTATGGAGCCTCAAAAGTCAACATGGTTGTTTTTTCATTTTTTATGGTTTGTATTGTTTGTCGGTCTACTTTGTATTGTTTGTATAGTTCGTATATTTTGTTGTTATATTTTGTACTGTTTGTCAGTCTGTGTGGTTGGTACTGTTTGTAAGTTCGGTTTGTATACTTCGTAATTTTTCATAATACCCAAACTACCCCTGTTAGTAATTAAAAAACCCTTCTCACTTTTTAACCGTCATATTGGTGTGTCCAGATCTAAGGGCTGGGAGGGGCTTAGTCAAGTGACTAAGCACCCCCCTTAGTTACTGGATCTGCCCTCATATGGACACCTCTTAAGGCTTTCAGGCGTACCTACCATACTGGGGTGACATGTCAAGGCTCGTAATACCATGTGCTTGAAGACAACGGTTAATATTGGGGGTTGTAAGGACTTGAACACGTGAACTCAAGTATAAACCAGACTTTGATACCATGTCATAAAGCAACTGGTCCCAATTGCTCGAATTGTTGGGAGATGCCTATGTATGGAACTTAACCACTTTCTTACATGCGGGTGGGCATCTTGGAGATGCGAGGTTTGAGCCTAAGTAGCCATGATAATAGGAACTCGCCTCCCTGGGTATTGTGGGACCAAACTCGCGTAGGGGAGGGTAATACCCGACCCATAGTAGCATGGTCCGGAATATGGGTACTGCTTCCGACCTATTCTGTCCCATTACGCTCCATTCTTGATCCGGTTTATCTCGGTTCGTCTAAATATTTCTCCTATGTAACTTATCCTAACTCATATTTTCACATTATATTATTTAGATATGTGCAAGACTTTATCTTTCAACTAATTGGGCTCCATTAGTTTACTTATTATCTCTATTTTTCATTTCAGAACTAATGTTATTTTGTTTTATCACTAAAAAACAAACATTTTCTTCAAACACTATATAAGAATGGGCCAACTTGCCTCAACCTGTATCCGCGCAGGTATTGTCCGACTTGAAATGCGCTTGGTGCGTGACGGGTATCGATATTGAGGTACTCACCTTGCCTCGCCCCATTGCCATCACTAGCTCTGAGGCAAGGTTCAAATGAAAGCAGGGGGTGCTCTGTGATGGGTCTAGGAAATGGAATAATTCGATCAAGCCAGACCAGGTTGACTCATTTAGCCGGGTTGTATTTTTTACAAAATAGGAACTAGTAATTGGATTGGATATGATTCAAACAGTAACCCGCTCTCTTCTGATCGTGCTTGACTCTCGGATGGTCGAGGCGTTAAGCTCTCTTCTGGTCGTAGGTAGACATGATTCGCGGGAATGGTTAGGAAGTGGAGGCCTGGAGTGAGTTGTGGCTCCACCTTCTGCTTGCGTTTGTGATGCGAGCGAGTGTTGAGACCAGAGAGTGAAAGAGAGCTAAGAGATGTGAATTAGGCCATTTGGGTTAGTGGTGTAGGTGGTGACTTTTCTAGGGTCAGGCTGTTAATTTGGTGTGGGGCGGGTTGTGGGCGCCTTGGTGGGGTCGGGCTTGGTTGTAATTATATAGGCCTGAAGCTAGGTTTTTAGTTTGGGCGGCTGAGGCTGGGCTAAAGAATGTGTTATATGGGTAGAAAAGAATGCAAATTCGCCAAGTCGAGTCAAGGTTTACTTCAATTTGAGCTCAACTTGTTTATTAATGAGTCGAGTCGAGTCGAATTCAAACTAGCTTGGTGACTCACACAAAACACCACACTAGAAATCCCCTCTAGAGCCCAAGTTTTTAAACTCTAGAGGGGTGCAACATAGGGAAGTAAGTTTTAATTATCCACCCGGGCCGATCATGTACCCCTACTTCAATCGCTTAGATTGTTATCTAGCAAAAAACTTTTGGGTTTAGAACTAATGGAACTACAAACTAAACAAGCAAAGAAAAGTAAATAAAGGAAAATTCTAACTAAGGGAGCTTCACCTAGGAGTTGCTTCCCCCTAACTAGCTACCATGACTCGTTGGATTAAATGGAGTCGTGTGGTCTAGAGTGAACCACGAGGGTGAGCAACTAGTGATCGATTTGTAATGGAATCAATTCACTAGCGATCGATTTGTCACAGAATCGATCCACTTACAACGTATAGGGGAACCGCAAGGAGGACCAACTAGTGATCCATTTGTCACGGGATGGATTCACTAGAGATCGATTTGTCACGAAATCGATCGTCTCACTCAGTCTCTAGGGGTTGCCTAGGGCCCTCCCTCAAACCGAAGTTTGAGCGGCTTAATCACAACCAACCTAGATGCAACCTTGAGTCAAGGGGGATGCTCATTTCTAATAATCAAATTGATGCACACC